GAGAATAGTAAAGGAAATAGAAACCAAATCAAAGCTATGGTAGATAACTTATAAAATTTACTCTATTTATATAAAAATAGGAAGGAAAATGTTGATGCGTGATTTTTGGTACCAACTAATTGACACGTGCGTAGCGTTGATTGGTCAAGAGACACACGTGATTATGGGTAAAAATGTAGAATAAGTGCAATGAGAGCCTTTTAAAGTGGTTCGGATGTTAAGGTAGCAAGTCCTACGTCCACTGATTTGTATTAATATAGTGGGTCAGGTCGCAACAGCGGACTGACTTACAAATGATTGGCAAAGAAAAGTAAATACAAAGTTATCAGAGAGAGAGAGCTAATTTCTAGTATAAAATAGCCGAATCCCCTTAATGAAGGGGTCTTCCTCTTTTTATAGTGAGGTGAGTGCAAGTAATCATCAGTAAATCCATGGGTTGGTGTGAATGTCATGATTAAATCCGGCTTTATGTCACATTTCCCACCTTCCAAACTGATTTTACGCGATTTGGAGCAGGGAAAGGGACACGTGGGAGCTCCGTAACTATTGGCAGGCCTGACGTGTGCTTACCTTTCTGACAGGAGCAGGTCACCCCCCCATCACGTGATTTCCTATGTCAGCCCTTGATTTTCCAGGAGTAACAGAAAACATAGTCCCAAAGAGTGCACCAAGATGGACATAAGGACTAATAAACATAAATTTTAATCCATATCTAAACCAAAGAAAAAACCACATGCAAATATTGGCCATAGACACAGTACGATCTTGCAACTGTAAACTAGTAGCTACTTTCTTTTGGGGAAGAAACAAAGAGAATAAAATTGATAAAAAAAAATAAAGAATAATTATAAAACAGTAAACAAGCTATTCTGATTGTCAATTTTGTTCAAAAGAATAATGGAGCGCGGCCCATACTTCAAGGCTTTGGCAAGAACAAACTTTGCCTGTGCAAACGGACCTAAACAAGCATCGATCCACAACTAAAATCGCTCCTTCCACCATGCAAACAACTCGATCAACCTATAACCATCACAAAATAAAGCTAAACAAAATAATGGCCGAATGACATGCACCCGCCCATAGTTTGCTATAAAGACAATGTGGTAACCAAAAGGTTTGAAAACGTCGATTACCTATCTTCTGTCCAAATCTGTTAGTAAAGGTAGTTTTAAAAAGGATAATATGGTAATTTTATATCCAACAAAAAAATATGACATTCTGCCCAATTTCTCTATTTCATATTAATTTTATAAAAATATTTCTTCTCAATTTTAATTATTTTATTTTTATAATTAATTTTGAATTAAAATCTTGTCTTCATCTTCTTCATCTCTCGCCAGAACCACAGGACAACCAGCAGCAAAAACAACCAAAGCTCCAAAAAAACCTCACTCAAATCACCAAAAGATTCAATGCAAAAAAATCCCAAATAATCACTCTCAAACACTCAAAAGAACCAAAACACGCAAGGCACAGAAGGTTTGGGGCAAAACCCCAAACAAGTGGTATGCCAAAACTTGGAAAATCAATCATCAATGCCAAAACCGATCAGAAATCCCCAAAAATCAAACAAAAACAAAAAAAAAAAAAAAACACTCCCAATTAATCTCCAACCATCAATTTCTTATCAAAAACTCCGAAAAACACCAATTATTCCCAATTCAACAAACAACAAAAACCCGAGGAATTAAATTGGTGGTGAAATGTGAGCAAACGACGACGGGGAAAATGGGGGTTTTGGAGAGGGCACATCGAAAAGACGATTGGCGGGGAAAGGAAAGCTTTTCGATGACGGGGCTTCCGGAAAATGGGTGGGGAAGTGCGACAGCTTTGCAAAAGACCCCATTTTTTTGCCCTTTTATGAGAGAGATGAAGAAGATGAAGACGGGAAGAGAGAGAGGAGAGAGGTTTTCGATTTGGCCATATTCCGTTGCTGGGTTCTTGCCTAGTGACTGGAGGAAAAAGAAGGAGAAGGAAGGGAAGAAAGAGAAGGGAGATAATCATAGAAAAGATAAGAGAAAGAGAAAGGGGAGAAGAAGAGGAAGGATAAGAGATTTGGGCAGATTTTTTTAATTTTTTTTTTTTATGATAAACCTTAAAACACAAAAAGTCAAAATTACCCCACAAAAATGATAGAATGTCGATACTACCACTTTAGTTAACAGATTTACTAACTGGTTTGGACGGAGGGTATTTGTCATTTTAAAACCTTTTGGATATTAATTTGTCTTTAAAGCAAATTTTGGGTAGGTATAAGTGTTCCCCCTGAAATAATTCAGAAAAAGTTCTGTGTTCACATTTTGGAGGGAGTGCCTAGCTGGAAAGCACATTAACCATTCCAACTCTAGGGCCTGTTGGTTTTACTTTTTTTTTTTTTTTTTTTTTTTTTTCACTATTTTATTCCTATCTTACCAAAATGTATATTTGTTTCCTATTTTTAAAATTCAATCTTATTATATTTAATTACTTTTAAACCCCTATAAGTTTATTAATTTAATTAAACACCCTCAATAAAAAGTTTATAAATTAACAAAAACACCCCCACTTATCCACATTTACCAGACTTCGACTACCACTATTGAAAGGTAACTAAAATCTAGTGTAATGGCGCACTACTAGTTGGATCTGACAAGTAGTTCGCCGATCTGGCATTTTCTAGCTAGATTCACCTTGAATCTAGTTGAAAAATTTCAGATCTATAACCAAAGATTTGGTCATTGACGACCAGATCTTTGGCCACATCTGGTTATCAACGATGGTCATATCGTTGGCAACCAGATTTGGCCGTAGATCTACCTCGTAATAACAACTTAATTTTGCTTTTTCAAAAATACTATTCCAAATAATAAAGGTTTCGTTTGGTTGGTTTTTGGGAATACTACATTTAGTATTTCCAAAAAAGTTAAACAGTAAAATACCCAAAAACTTACAATAGTATTCAACTTTTTGTAAACCCCTTAAATTTGTTAATATAATTAAATACCCCTAAATATTTTTTTAAAAATTGCAAAAACACCCCAACAATCCAATTTATCAGATTTAGGCCACCACTGCCAGAAAATGGTCGGAATCTGGTAGGATGGCTCACTACCGGTTGAATTTGGCATGTAGTGCACCGATCTAGCCTTTTTTTGGCAGATCCACGGTGGATCTGGCCAGAAAATGCCAGATCTTTGGCCGTAACCAGTCGGTAACGACGGCCAACAAACGGTCGTCGTTGACCATCAACGACGACCGTTTGTTGGCTGTCGTTGATGAGCAAATACGGCCAGATCTGGCCGTCAATGGCCAGATCTAGCCGTAGATCTGGCCTTTGCCGACCAAATCCACCATGGATCTGGCCGGAAAAGGCCATAGCGACGCACGACCGGCAAGATCCAGCCGGTCATGAGCCAATACGGTGACTCTGGCCACCCTCTGGCGGTGGTGGCCTGCTGTCCGTATTTGAGGGTGGGTTGGAGGTGTTTTTGTTAACTTTTAATGTTTTATTATAGGGGGTGTTTCGTAAAAAAACAAACATAGAGGGTATTTTATTAATTTGTAAATCCTACATCGTAATCCCCGCCCAATTCAACTTTTTTTTAACTTTTTTCAAAAAACTTTTCCCAAAAACACAAAATTGTGAACCAAAGGGAGCCAAAACAAACACAAGTCTAAGATACATTACTTTTTTATTAATTTTTAAATCCTACCTCATAATAACAATCTATTGGGACTTCAAGATTTTGTCTTTCTTCATTCACTTCATTTTTCAATAAAACAAAATATACACTACTTTTTTATTCACTAATATATATAAAGATACACAATTAAGATGAATATGACCTCCATCTCAAATTTTTATTTCTTAACATACTAGTTTGCACATGGGGAGACGTATGCTTAATCGGTCAATTTAAGTTTTTTTGTTTTCTTTGTAGATTTGGTCAATAAATAAAATTTATATCATTACCGTTGTCCATTTTTCAGTGATTATTAATGCTGGGGTCGAAAGTGTGTTTATCTTTGACTCCATTTATAAAGATTTTGACATTTATCAAATTTTTGTTTATTAATTTTACAAATTAGATTTATATTGAAAGGAAGATAAATTTAATCCTACCGACGTAATCTATCTTAGGATAATATAAATTTAATGGAGTGACAACACACATTTCATCATTTTCAGGAGATCCTTATCCTGAGAATATTTCTAATTAGTTTTTATAAGGTATTTTTGTAATTCCAAAATGTGAGGGACCTAACATGCATGAGTCATGACCATGCCATAAAAAGGGCACTACGCAACAGGCATATTTACCACTTAATTTAATTCATATTCTTTCTTTTCCTTTCACTTCACGTCAATCATCTTCCTCTTTAATTTCAAAGTCAAATCCCAACTCATCTTTGATTTCTCAACCATGACTATGAGTTAACTACATTTTGATCCCTAATATAAGGTTTTGATCACCTTGGTTAAGCCTAATATAATCTTACATAAATGACATCAAATATTTACAAAATCATAAAAATTAAATTAAATTTTGCTAATTGAAAATTCTACTAAAAATTTATAACGCTTCTTTCAAATTTTAATTAATTATTTTATTATAAGAAAATAAAAAATTACGAATTAGGGGTATATTTAGGCTTTTACAAAAATCTTTCAAAGTACTAATAAATGAGGACCTAACTGTCACTTTCAAATTATACTGGATCTTGCAAACTCAGGCCAAACTACAGGGACCAAAAGAGCTCCAAATTTACAATTGAGTAGTACATACACATGCATCATTTCCATGAATGGTTTTAAATTTGCGATATTTTTATTTAATATTTCTCATTTAATATTTTTAATATAATATGGTGTGATTTTTTTCATATAATATGATGTGAGGGTAAAAGATAATTGGATGTTTATTTTTAATTTAAAATCATTCAACTATTTTTTATCTTACGTTAAGAAAATATTATATGTGTTGTATTATGTTATCTAATTGGACGTGTTTATGCGCAGCTAATCAAATTCCGTTCTTAATCCGAAGCCCACAGGGTCCTGCCCACACTCGATAATCGAATAAATCATCACTTTGAAAACACTGTTGGGTTCTTACAACTTACAAGAACACACATGACAAATTCACAATTCGTCACACTCCCTCACTCAGTCTCAGGTCTCGCCTCAGCTTTTCTCTCTCCGAGTCGCGCTGAGCTGAATCCGGGACTTTGAGCTGAGTTAGGATTGGTTTTATGAGTCCGAGTCGAGAAATGAAGCAGAAGAGCGAGAAAATCAATAGTTCTAAGCTAGTGACTTATGTGCTACTCGGACTCGTTGGTCTTCTTGGGTTGGTTGGTTTGTACTATGGGTCGTATTCGACTCCGGGACTTCGGAGATCCGACGATGATTCTTTTGATGGATCTGACCCGGTTCTGGGTGGGTTTGCAAGAAACAACGATTTTGATGACTTTTTTGAAGATCAAGAGCTCAATCCTGAAGTACCCAAAAGCATCCCTGTATGTTAATCTAGTTGATTTTATTTTTGTTTGTTAAAGAGTTTAATTTATATTCGTTGATTGTTTATCATGTTTGATTTATTTAAAAATTAAATAACAATCAAGGATTGGTTATTGAGCAAAAAATAATTTATGTATTTGAAAAAAACTTGTTAATTGAACTCGTTTAATGTGCATAATTGTGTTCATTCTGGTGATAAATTTTGTTTCATTGAATAGAAATTTACAATAGTATTTTGACATGGGAAAATTCTCGGTTAGAGGGATGTATGACTAATGTATCACATTATTTATAGCTTATCCTTAAATTTATGTTATACATGCATTTGTTTTCTTTTTCATATGCTTTTGGTTTTTAAGATGAATGTATGTGTCGTAGAATTTTATTTGATGGTATACGGATTATATAAGTTTGTTTTACTCACTCAATGCTCTTTTTTTTAGAGGAATTTTGGTTTCATGTATATTTCTTCTTAATTAGCTGAAATTATCCGTTTCATGTTTTTTACAGATTTGTGATATGAAATATTCAGAGTTGATACCATGTTTAGATAGAAGCCTTATTTATCAATTAAAACTAAAGCCTAATTTGACATTAATGGAGCATTATGAGCGGCATTGTCCACCTCCAGAGCGACGTTACAATTGCCTGGTTCCACCTCCAAAAGGTTACAAGGTTAGTGCCGTTTGTCACTTATGTATTTGGTATCTGTTAGTTTTTTATTCCAACAAGATTGTTTTTAGAGTTGCAGATTCCTATAAGGTGGCCGGCGAGCAGAGATGAGGTGTTGAAGGCGAATATACCTCATACACATCTTGCAGAAGAGAAGTCAGATCAGCATTGGATGGTTGTAAATGGAGAGAAGATAAATTTCCCTGGTGGAGGGACCCATTTCCATTATGGAGCGGACAAGTACATTGTTTCTCTTTCCAAGGTATGTGGTTGCTTTGTTTTGGTATGTTATATGTCCTATTTATATTTTTCTTGTTAAGCTAATTGTTAAATCATTATATTGGTATAGATGCTTAAATTTCCTGGTGATAAGCTCCACAATGGTGGAAACATCAGAAACGTTCTTGATGTGGGTTGTGGGGTTGCAAGTTTTGGAGCCTATCTTCTTTCCCATGACATTATAGCTATGTCCTTAGCGCCAAATGATGTACATGAGAACCAGATACAGTTTGCACTGGAGAGGGGCATTCCATCAACTCTAGGTGTCTTGGGAACTAAAAGACTTCCTTATCCAAGCAGATCATTTGAACTTGCTCATTGTTCTCGATGTCGGATTGATTGGCTTCAGAGAGATGGGATTCTCTTATTAGAACTTGACAGGTTGTTAAGACCAGGAGGGTATTTTGTGTATTCATCTCCTGAAGCCTATGCACATGATCCAGAAAATCGAAGAATCTGGAATGCTATGTATGATCTTCTGAGAAGAATGTGCTGGAGAGTTATTTCCAAGAAAGACCAGACTGTTATATGGGCAAAGCCACTAAGCAATAGCTGTTACTTGAAGAGAGAACCTGGATCCCGACCTCCTTTATGTGGTTCTGATGATGACCCAGATGTTGCATGGAATGTGCTCATGAAAGCATGCATCTCCCCGTACTCAGCAAGTAAGTAACACTACTTTCTGTCTGTTGTTCAGGCTGTAACTTGTAGATAAATTTCTGAACTCTAATCCTTGTGGTGTTGGTAGAATTTTGTTATTGTTATCACATGAAATACATTTTATCCAGAGTGAACTTGTTGCTTTCGTCTATCTTATAAGAGCAGTCTATGGTCCTAAAGTTTTTAGAAATTTGGGTTGGAAGGACTCCTCTGACCTTTGTCTTTCTTCCAAAGAGGCTAGGAGAATATGACTCGTGTTCTGCTTATCTTTTGTAAACTTGAATCAGGATATCTTTAAATCCCTTGTGAATGTCCCCTAAGAGGAGTTTTGCATAAGAAAATTTTGTACCAAATTCTAATATTTTCATTACTGTGCCGAGATGTTCATATATCTATCAAACATGGGCTAGTAGATTTAGTTTTTCTGCTTTAACCTTTTATTAGTGCTGGCGGTAACCTTTTTTCTTCTTTGACAGAGATGCACCAGGAAAAAGGTAGTGGACTGGTTCCTTGGCCAATGAGGCTTACTGCAGCACCTCCTCGTCTAGCAGAAATTGGTGTCAGCCCAGAGGAATTCCGCCGAGACTCGGTAAGGTTTTGAAATTGATAAACAGCACTGTTTGGTGTTGCTGTATCCTGCTTTGTTCTGTTTATTTATCTTATCACTTTATTCATCTAGAAGTTCTTTCATGCAGAATATATGGCTAGCTAGAGTGACTGAGTACTGGAAGCAGATGAAATCTGTTGTACAGAAGAATTCCTTCAGAAATGTTATGGATATGAACTCTAACCTTGGGGGATTTGCTTCTGCCCTCAAAGATAAAGATGTTTGGGTGATGAATGTTGCTCCTGTCCTCATGTCTGCCAGATTGAAGATAATTTATGATCGAGGTCTAATTGGAACTGTTCACGATTGGTATGCCTTTTAATTTGACTGATTCATCCCTAGATGTATTTTCCACTCCTATTGTTGTTTTGACATTTTGCGCATGTTTTAGTCTGGCCTCTGTTTGTCTTGGTTTCATATCTATCATGATGTTATTATGACATGTTATTCCTATTAAGATACCTTTTTATTCTTGAAAGTCGGCCATGTATTATTTCCCCAAGGTTAATTAAATATTGTGGCATTTTCCATTCATAAAGCTTTGGATATGAGTTTCACCTTGTCTATGATTTAGGTGTGAAGCATTCTCGACTTATCCTCGCACATATGATCTTCTTCATGCCTGGAAAGTATTTTCAGAGATCGAGGAGCTTGGTTGTGGAATAGAGGATTTACTAATTGAAATAGATCGGATGCTGCGGCCAGATGGATTTGTAATTATAAGAGACAAACCTTCTATAATAAACTATATCCGAAAGTTTGTGACTGCCTTAAGATGGGATGGCTGGTTATTAGATGTTGAACCAAGGATTGATGCTCTGTCCTCTGGTGAAGAAAGAGTTTTGATTGCAAGAAAAAAATTGTGGGACGATGGTGTTATGGCAATCTGAAACTGCCCTTTTCTGCCAGGTATATTGTCAGCATAACCTGATCTTTGAAATTATGAAAGCTCTCTTAGACAATGGTTTCTGCTTTCACTTGCTGATATTTCATCTTCCTATGACTGTTTTTCCTCATTCTGCACAGTAGTGCTCAGAAAGGTCTCTCTCTTCCAGTACAGTTAATATTGACGGATATATGTATGCAATTCGAAACTTGCGAGGGGTTCTGTAAAATAGATTGTTCTTTTTCTTTCTTTTATAGTTCTTGTTTTCCCAAAAAAAAAAATATGGAGTATGTTATGTCTATTCGAGCTTAGTAATCTAGTCTTCATTATCTTCATTATAAAGTTTATGTACATATTTGTTGTTCTTTCAAAGGCATGCTGGTCGCACTTCTGGGTATCTTCACAATTCACTAGAGATAAATGGGTTGGAGGGGACAGTTGGTATTTGATACAAAAATATTTCTTCTTTCTGTTCTACAACAGCATCATATACAAAGAGTTACAGATACATTTGTTCTGTAGAAGGTGCAGCCGTGTAGAAATAGAGCCACAAGCAGCGAAAGCAACAAGAAGAAAAACAGAAGCTGACATGTAATATCTGGAAGCATATTGTGCTTGTGGGATGTATTATTTTCATATCAACTAGTATTACTCTGAAGACAAATGCCTGTAAATAATAATGGAATTGTGAATTATGAATAGAACTATACCAATTTGTGAAGATTTTCTTGCACTAAAACTTTTACCGTACGAATGTGTCATATTGAAGGGTGGCCATTTCCTACATGCTTGGCTTGTTTCATTGTTTACAACATCAGGAGACCACGGAATCCAAAGAGGTTACTCAAGCATGGGTAGATAGATGCTGTATTTGAGGTGATAGTTGAGACGAAGAGGAGGATGAGAAGAATTACTTCTTGGAGGTCCACCGGAGAGAATGGAGAAGTAAAGGGTGGCCTCTTTTTGGCTGTCTCGGGTTTTATTGTTTCCAGAATATTTTTTATATTAATCTAGTTTGAATTCGAAATTACTTTTGGGGTGGGGTATGGGACGATTACTCTTGTAATATATCTTTTATTACAGGCATATTATATTATTTGATAATAAGAGTTATTACTGTTGGTAATATATGGGTTTAATTAGGGGTTTGGGAAGATTTACAAGTGTTGTTAAAAATCGGAGGAGTGAAAAATAAAATTTAGACTTGAAAAAAGAACGCTTGTAAACTAAAGAAATAAAACTTTTATTTCAACATAAACTTCATATAATCTCCACATTACAAACAATGTTAATTCCCTTATTTATAAGTAAATAAATGGATTAGATTACATAACCATCTTCACTGTTCAGACATCAATTAAGAGAAGTTTAAATATATCTGAACAATAACTGGAAATTGATTCAATCTAAAACTGAAAATAACAGTACTGTATTTGATAAGAACTAAAAAACTGCAAGTCGCACAACGCACGCTATAGCAAACTTTTCTTTCGCTGCAGAGAACTTCGGTCGCTGCAATGACCATTTACATAGTTGCGACGATGGGTTCTCTGATCTGTTTTTCAGATAACTTCATCTTCACTTCTACCATACCAAAAGATTCATACTTCAATAGGCATTACGTTGTTTGGTTGTCAAGTAATAAAAAATTACGGTAATCTTTCATTGGCAATAGTTGTTACTTTTGGTAATATAGAGATAATTTGATTACCTTCTCAACATATGTTATTAAAAGACTATCGAGGTAATCCACTGTTCATACCAATTTTACCCTTAATTAAAAAGCCATTTGGACATAAATACCCTCATATGTCTACCAAATAACAATTAGCTCAACTATGCAAAATGATTTTTATAACCTCAAAAATTATTATTTTTGGATAGAAATGCCTCCCACTATTTATATGAATATCACCCAAAATTATTTAGCCACTGTAGATGACTGTCGGCCACCTTCGCTAGTAGTCACCAGAACGGCGCATGACCGGCTAGATTTGACTGATTGGGTGCCGATATGGCCGTTTTCGGCTAGATCGAAGGTCGAAAATGGCTAGATGGCCGTTTTCGACTTTCGATCTGGTCGACAATGGCCAGATCTGGCATGTCGTGCATTGTTCCGGTGACGACTGGTGGTGGTGGCTGACGGCCGACAATCGTGGGTATTTTGTTAAAATTTAAAGTTTTGTTGTTGGGGTGTTTTAACTAAATTCTCAAACTTAAGGGGTTAAAAGTATTTTATCTAAATAATAATGATGATGATATTATTAAAAAGGAAGGGTAATTCAATAAAAGCCTATGTTGATAATATTTTATTCCTCCCAACCAAACATTATTATTATTTATACCCACCAATCTAACCAAACATATTGATATAACATTCCCCCATAATCTTCAAGCTAATCTATCTAATTAGTAAACCTACATTTTCAGCAATAAAACATTTACCGAACGAAACGCATCCTCAGTTTAATTGTTAGAATTCAAAATTGCTTCAGTTTTTATCAATGTACATCTTTATTGTTCTTTGAAACGCATGCTGGTTGCACCTCTGGGTATCTCCACAATTCACTAGCAGGGGGTATTTGATACAGATATACTTTTTCTTTCAGGCTAGATGAAGCTTCTACAACAGCATCATACACAAAGAATTGCAGAAGGTGCAGCCATGTAATTAGTGTACTCTAATTACAGATATTCTTGGATTTTTTTTTCGACGATCTTCGGTGCTGCCTCTATTTTTGCAAGAATCATAATAATTAGTAGAGACAACTGCCTGTAAATAACTATGGAATTGTGAATTGTTGATAGAACTATACTAAATTTGTGAAGATTTTCCTGCCTTCAAACTTTTTACTATATGAATGTGTCATAATACTAGCGGGTTTCATTGTCTTCTGGGGCTTATTTCATTTAGTTCTCAAATGGTCTCTATAAAATGTCCAAACACTCTTACACTCATGATTTCCTAAGTTTAATCTGTTGTTCCATTGATTATGTAATTTTCATTATAAATTAATCATGCCTTAAATTAGCATTAATAATCATATTACTGTTTGTAATTTATAATATAAAGTATCGTATTGATATCAGTGATTGTGGAATTCCGTTGGTAAATAAAATTAAGCCGGTTAATTTTGATAAGCTGAAGCAACAGCTGGCAGTGAAGTAACCCGCCACGCCTCTATTTCGTTAGTTCCCGCTTATTTCGTTCTCTTCACATCTCAATTCTCTCTGATATAAAGGAACCAAATCCTTCACCGTAAAACCTGAACACTCATTTCATTAAATCTTAATACAAGCATGGATTCTGTATTCGAATTGACTACTAAGATGAAACAGAACTTTTCTGTCCATTCAAAAATGCCCCCTAAACAACCCTTTGTCATTGGTAACACTTTGTTTTTTCTTTTTGTTTTGTATTTTCTTTGATTTATCTGGTTTTAATATCAGAAACTGTTTACCGTTCTTTTGCCTTTCTCAGGTGTTGCTGGTGGAACGGCATCTGGGAAAACAACCGTTTGCAATATGATTATATCCCAGCTCCACGATCAACGTGTTGTTCTTGTAAATCAAGTAATTCGAAGTACCATAACCTTTTAATTTTTTTCAAGTCCTCAATCAATTGGATTATAAAATTATAGATGATTTCTGAAGAGATCGCAATATACTTTTGCACTGAATTCTTTTAATATATGCAATCTTTGCAGGATTCGTTTTATCATTCTCTCAAAGATGAGCAATTGCGAAATGTTCATGAGTACAACTTTGACCATCCGGGTACGTATTTGATTTGAGAATTTCACAAAAGGCGAAAGTTTGATTTTGTATTTGGTCCATTTATAATCTATAATTCTTGCTGAGGGTAGTTTCACATTTTTATTGCTTTCCAGATGCCTTCAATACAGAGCTTTTGCTTTCTTGCATGGAGAGATTGAAACAGGGGCACGCAGTTAGCATCCCCCATTATGATTTCAAGACTCACAAAAGCACTGAAGGGGCTCGCCAGGTATTAGATTACTCCATTTTCAGCGTTAATATCCTTGAAGCATTAGATGAAAATCATATAGTAAAACCTGTTTTCATATCTGCATTATTTCCCTCTTGCAATGATGACCAATTGTTTCAGTTGAAAACGGTTGTCGCTTGTTTGTTCTATGATAGATTAAACCCTCAGATGTGTTCATTTTGGAAGGAATACTAGTACTTCATGATTGTCGTGTTCGTGAACTCATGAACATGAAGATCTTTGTTGACACAGGTTTGTTTCTCTGGATTTTTCATTTGTTTCGTTTATTTTAGTTCTATGAGTCAAGCAATTGTAGTGAGGAAGAATCAATGCCACTTTTTCTGTTGGAATGCTGTTCGGATTAATTTTGGGGAAATAACTTGACATGAAAATTGCTTTACATTTCAAGAGAGGATTAACTGAGTATAGCATTTCTTGGTGAATCATTCAAAATAACCCTCAAAAAATGCTCAACAAATTAGATCTTCCAATCTTGCAACTTTGTGATAGATAATATAAAATTTTGAACATTAATACATACTGCCTCCTCCTATTTTTCCAATCTTGTTTCATTTCAAAACTTTAGGGCTTACAATTTTCTTTTCTCCTTCAAAGTATGATATCATAATGATTTCACCAGTGCAGATTCCGATATGCGTCTAGCGCGAAGAATCCAACGTGACACTGTCGAAAGAGGAAGAGATATCCAAAATGTGCTTGATCAAGTTAGTGCACTCGCATCTTTAACCAGAAGTGAAAATGCTTATAGTATACAATTTTTAAATAAATTACATGACATATATTCAGATGATCAAAATTTAATTTCTATTGCAGCATAAATGCTGAAATCTATATATATTACAGATATCTCAATAATCTATTCTCCAAAATCTGCAGTATGCTAGATTTGTAAAGCCTAGTTTTGAAGAATTTATATTGCCATCGAAAAAGCATGCAGACATTATCATCCCTAGAGGGGGAGACAACGATGTGGCAATTGACTTGATAGTTCAACATATTCTTACAAAGCTTGGCCAGCATGACTTATGCAAAATATATTCAAATGTTTTTGTTATTTTCTCAACATTTCAGGTATTTCTATTTAACTTCATTTCTAGGTTTCGATTTTAACTCTTCAAATGTTCATTTACAATGGCTTTGAATTTGCCATGATATATGTATCTGCAATTCTATGTTCTTGCTCTAAAGGAATTAAAAAAAGCTTAATGGTGTTTCTGAATTCGGTCCAGCTTCGGGGAATGCACACCCTTATACGAGATGCTAAAACGAAAAAGCATGATTTTGTTTTCTACGCGGATCGACTTATTCGCTTGGTAAACAGCTTCATATTCATAAAAAATCATATAGATTTAGAGCTGAGTTATTGGCAGGATGTGAAATAATGTTGTTTTGAATCAATGTTTTAGGTTGTCGAGCATGGTCTGGGACACCTTCCTTTCACTGAGAAACAAGTCATTACTCCAACAGGTACCTGCTGTTTGCTTCACTGTATTAATTTATGAAGGCATTGATCATTAATCACCAGACTAGTTTCTTAATTCATGCCATATGCATACTTTTCCTCTGCAATGTGCAGAATACTTCTCCATTAACCTCCAAAATTAGCATTTCGGTTTAATTTGTCTACAATAGGCACTCATCTCTGCTTTTTATCTTATCACAGGATCTGTATACACTGGAGTTGTTTTCTGTAAGAGGTTATGTGGGGTCTCGATCATTAGAAGGTACATATTTCTTCGCTCATTATTGTACATGAATTTTTCTGGGTTGGTTCTGAAAACATGATTCATAATATCCATAGCATTGGAAGATTAAAGATAGGCAAAACATTTAATGTATAGTGATTACTCTAATTTCTGATATCAGTGGGGAAAGCATGGAGAACGCATTAAGGGCATGTTGTAAGGGAATCAAAATTGGTAAAATCCTCATCCATGGAGAGGGTATCAATGGCCGGCAGGTTCGTGGAACCGACTGTGTCTCTTTTCTCTCTTAGTCACTGTCTTCAAAGAATTTCTCATTTAGCTACAACATTCACCTCATTTGGCTAACTATATTGCAGCAGTTAATCTATCAAAAGCTTCCCACAGACATCTCAAGCCGCCATGTGCTATTGCTTGACCCCATTCTGGCTTCAGGAAACTCTGCTGTCAAAGCCATATCTCTACTTCTGAGTAAGGGCGTTCCAGAATCTAACATCATCTTTCTCAACCTTATAGCTGTAAGTTACTGATGTTTTTTGGTATCCATTTTCAAGGCTTGGTTCCAGTTCTGTTTTAAATCTACAACTGGGATATCATATAATTCTGCAGGCACCTCAAGGAATTCATGCCGTCTGTAAGAAATTTCCGAAACTAAAAATTGTGACATCAGAGATTGATGCATCACTGGATGAACATGATCGAGTGCTCCCAGGCATGGGGGAGTTTGGCGACCGATACTTTGGTACAGAGTACAACTACAATACCACTCTCAAGTCTCAGTCTAGCTCACAATCTATAAGCTTCGGAACACCAAAATGACTGAATCATTAACGTTATTACAGTATTTCATCTTGTTGAGAGCAATCCCAGTTTAGATTATTTACTTAAGACAGAGGATGAAATTTTGTTAAATCAATCAAATGTTCTCTTGATCCAAAGAATAACAGAATTTCTTCAACATTCTGAAAATGAGACAACGGTCTTGGAGATTTTGTTGATTTTAGTTCACATAATCATGAATATAAAGCAAATGCTACTGCTTTCAGTAAACAAATATGTAGGGTTCCTTAACCTCAATTCACCTTTTTTTGTTTAAACTTAAATGGGTGAGAATTGAGATAATATAACTTAAATTTTTAATACTAGTTTAATAACTATCTATTGCATTTAATTGCAAAAGTGGATGGTTCACCAGTTGTGTCAAAAAAAATTAATAAACTGCAAACACAAAATTGGGGACTAAAGACTTATCAGTACAAAACATGAACAAAACTTTATTCTCTCATAAATAATCAGAAAAACTGATCTATTACTATGGAAACAATTTGGGTTGGACTCGCTATCTATATAGTCCTAAATTTCCCATCATTTTTGGGACTAGAATCAACCTGGAATCAAAATTTGCCATAGAGAACTTGAAGAAAAATTCAAGATTTGTCCTTCCTACTCTTCTTCTTCCTTGAGGCAAAGCTGCTTGGTCCAATTTCTATGGACATTCGCTTTGTTCTGCAAAGCAAAACAAGATTTAAAAGTAGTCCATCATCAGCAAAATACTACATGAATGTGAAGAATAAAGTAAAGTGTCGAAAGATTTAAGGATAAAGAACAATTCATTATGAGGTAACATACCGAGCAGAAAGCTCTTCTGATTCCCTCGTACCATCTTCAACTACGCCATCTGATTAAAAAACATACAGTCAACTGACCAAACTGAGAGTGATGAATAAACAAAATAAACCAGCTGCTAATTTCCAGAACTACATCAGTCTCTTCTGACAATACTGAAAATGTCAATATACAGCCAGCTAAAAAGAAAATCAAATGACACTCGTGCAAGGTTGTTCCTAGAAAACTAATATCAAACAGAATTTGCTTCAAAACAGTGCAAATAAAGCTAGTAAACCAACTTAATGCTAGCTGGTCCATCATTACATGCTTAAAGGGTTAACTAAATGTAAAAGGTTGTGAATAAGATTATGTGACAAACGTTCTCAAAAGCTCTACCAGTTCGTTATGATCATATCCTTTTGGTTTTTCTGTAATACGCAGCAGATGGAAGACGCAAGGAACAAGGTTTATTCAAACTGGATAATCAACTTCTGCAGCCAAGTTTTTTTAACCTACAATGTTTTTAACCTACAATCGAATTCATAATTAATCTTCAAGTTTAAAATTTCCAAACATGTCATAGCCATAATCTATTAATCTCTACCACTAAATTTTATTTCCAATTATAGGTCATTATACTTCCCAAGTCGTATATATTCATCATTATGGATTTCTATTAGTTCTATACTCTGTTCTTACTCAAGCCAATTATTTAAATAAAAAAGTAGAATACAATAGCAAAAAATATTTCTGCCCAGCACAGAGCCTAAACAAACCTGTTTCATTTTCTTCATCACTTTCCTCCCCTGACTCGGAACCTGAACCCCATCGATCTCCACCATCATCATGGTCCCAGCGTTCTCCAACCGGAGGCATCCAAAAGTCAGCTTCTTCCAAATCACTCTCCTTATCTGGAGACTCCCTTACTTCAGAGATAATTTCTTCAATCTCTTTTCCCTTCTTCTTTTTCTTATTCTTCCTATTTACACTATTGGTGCTTGTCTTTGCTTCTTCTTCTACTGTTGTTCCATTTGATTCAAGTTTTTCGGTTTCCTTTTGCTCTGTTCACAGTCATTTACTTTTTAACATTCTATCCAAATTTGATCATCCTTTAAATGTAGAAACATATAGATTGAGAGAGACTACAAGATTTCATATTAGACAGCAACATAAAGATATTTTAGAAGCAGCAGAGAAATAAAAACCAACACTAACCTAGCTTGTTGAGAAACCGTTTCCCATTAATGTGCTTCCAGATGTGTTCTTCAGTCTTGTTAACCGTATCACCAGTTAGCTTACATATCAACTTTGCACTAATAAACAAAAAATTCAAACAATGCCAATATAAATTACATGGAACAAAGCATCATCCAGCTTTTATATTTTGAGCTTGACTGCAAACTATCGAACGTTTACTACCTCCAACAACAAAAACTTCCATCAACTCAATCAGATAAAAAAATAAAATATAATAAAAAACTTTTATTTTAATAATCAGGAATTTATCAAACAAAAAGCTCAAATTTTTAATTAATTTTTCAACTGGGTATTAAAAAAACAGAACCAAACTACACAACCTAGCTTCACAGACATAAACTCTTACACTCAAAAAAACTTAAAGCAACAAAGATGAAACCCCTAAACCCTAATTAAAGGTCAATAAACAAATTAAAAAAACTTCCACCGTTAAAACTGAACACTCATTTCATTAAATCTTAATACAAGCATGGATTCTGTATTCGAATTGACTACTAAGATGAAACAGAACTTTTCTGTCCATTCAAAATGCCCCCTAAACAACCCTTTGTCATTGGTAACACTTTGTTTTTTCTTTTGTTTGTATTTCTTTGATTATTTAATATCAGAAACTGTTTACCGTTCTTTTGCCTTTCTCAGGTGTTGCTGGTGGAACGGCATCTGGGAAAACAACCGTTTGCAATATGATTATATCCCAGCTCCACGATCAACGTGTTGTTCTTGTAAATAAGTAATTCAAGTACACTAAACTTTTAATTTTTTTCAAGTCTATCAATTGGATTATAAAATTATAGATGATTTTGAAGAGATCCAATATACTTTTGCACTGAATCTTTTAATATATGCAATCTTTGCAGGATTCGTTTTATCATTCTCTCAAAGATGAGCAATTGCGAAATGTTCTGAGTACAACTTTGACCATCCGGGTAGTATTTGATTGAGAATTCACAAAGCGAAAGTTTGATTTTGTATTTGGTCCATTTATAATCTATAATTCTTGCTGAGGGTAGTTTCACATTTTGACTGCTTTCCAGATGCCTTCAATACAGAGGTTTTGCTTTCTTGCATGGAGAGATTGAAACAGGGGCACGCAGTTAGCATCCCCCATTATGATTTCAAGACTCACAAAGCACTGAAGGGGCTGCCAGGTATTAGAATACTCCATTTTCAGCGTTAATATCCTTGAAGCATTGATGAAAATCATATAGTAAAACTTTTCATTCTGATTTCCCTCTTGCAATGATGACCAATTGTTTCAGTTGAAAAAGGTTGGCGCTTGTTTGTTCTATGATAGATTAAACCCTCAGATGTGTTCATTTTGGAAGGAATACTAGTACTCATGATTGTCGTGTTCGTGAACTCATGAACATGAAGATCTTTGTTGACACAGGTTTGTTTCTCTGGATTTTCATTTGTTTCGTTTATTTAGTTCTATGAGTCAAGCAATTGAGTGAGGAAGAATCAATGCACTTTTTCTGTTGGAATGCTGTCGGATTAATTTTGGGGAAATAATTGACATGAAAATTGCTTTACATTTCAAGAGAGGATTAACTGAGTATAGCATTTCTGTGTCTCAAATAAACTCAAAAAGCTCAACAAATTAGCTTCCAATTTGCAACTTTGTGATAGATAATATAAAAATTGAACATTAATACATACTGCCTCCTCCTTTTTTCCAATCTTGTTTCATTTCAAAACTTTAGGGCTTACAATTTTCTTTTCTCCTTCAAAGTATGATATCATAATGATTCACCAGTGCAGATTTGATATGCGTCTACGCGAAGAACCAAGTGACACGTGCGAAAGAGGAAGAGATATCCAAAATGTGCTTGATCAAGTTAGTGCACTCGCATCTTTAACCAGAAGTGAAAATGCTTATAGTATACAATTTTTAAATAATTACATGACATATATTCAGATGATCAAAATTTAATTTCTATTGCGCATAAATGCTGAATCTATATATATACAGAATCTCAATAATCTATTCTCCCAAATCTGCAGTATGCTAGATTTGTAAAGCCTAGTTTTGAAGAATTATATTGCCATCGAAAAAGCATGCAGACATTATCATCCCTAGAGGGGGAGACAACGATGTGGCAATTGACTTGATAGTTCAACATATTCTTACAAGCTTGGCCAGCATGACTTATGCAAAATATTCAAATGTTTGTTTGTTATTTCTCAACATTCAGGTATTCTATTTACTTATTCTAGGTTTCGATTTTAACTCTTCAAATGTTCATTTACAATGGCTGAATTTGCCATGATATATGTATCCGCAATTCTATGTTCTTGCTCTAAAAGAATTAAAAAAAGCTTAATGGTGTTTCTGAATTCGGTCCAGCTTCGGGGATGCACACCCTTACGAGATGCTAAAACGAAAAAGCATGATTTTGTTTTCTACGCGGATCGACTTATTCGCTTGGTAAACAGCTTCATATTATAAAAAATCATAGATTTAGAACTGAGTTATTGGCAGATGTGAAATAATTTGTTTTGAATCAATTTAGGTTGTCGAGCATGGTTGGGACACCTTCCTTTCACTGAGAAACAAGTATTACTCCAACAGGTACTGCTGTTTGCTTCCTGTATAATTTATGAAGGCATTGATCATTAATCACCAGACTAGTTTCTTATTCATGCCCTATGCATACTTTTCTCTGAATGTGCAGAATACTTCTCCATTACCTCCAAAATTAGCATTCGGTTTAATTTGTCTACAATAGGCACTCATCTCTGCTTTTTACTTATCAAGGATTCGTATACACTGGAGTTGTTTTCTGTAAGAGGTTATGTGGGGTCTCGATCATTAGAAGGTACATATTTTCTTCGTCATTATTACATGAATTTTTTGGGTTGGTTCTGAAAACAGATTCATAATATCCATAGCATTGGAAGATTAAAGATAGGCAAAACATTTAATGTATAGTGATTACTCTAATTTCTGATATCAGTGGGGAAAGCATGGAGAACGCATTAAGGGCATGTTGTAAGGGATCCAATTGGTAAAATCCTCATCCATGGAGAGGGTATCAATGGCGGCAGGTTCGTGGAACGACTGTGTCTCTTTTCTTCTAGTCTGTCTTCAAAGAATTTCTCATTTAGCTACACATTCACCTCATTGGCTAACTATATTGCAGCAGTTAATCTATCAAAAGCTTCCCACAGAATCTCAAGCCGCCATGTGCTATTGCTTGACCCCATTCTGGTTCAGGAAACTCGCTGTCAAAGCCATATCTCTACTTTGAGTAAGGGCGTTCCAGAATCTAACATCATCTTTCTCAACTTAGCTGTAGTTACCGATGTTTTTGGTTCCATTTCAAGGCTTGGTTCCAGTTCGTTTTAATCTACAACTGGGATATCATATAATTCTGCAGGCACCTCAAGGAATTTATGCCGTCGTGAAGAAATTTCCGAAACTAAAAATTGTGACATCGAGATTGATGCATCAATGGATGAACATGATCGAGTGTCCCAGGCATGGGGAGTTTGGGACCGATACTTTGGTACAGAGTACAACTACAATACCACTCTCAAGTCTCAGTTAGTGAAGGGTGGCCATTTCCTACATGCTTGGCTTGTTTCATTGTTTACAACATCAGGAGACCACGGAATCCAAAGAGGTTACTCAAGCATGGGTAGATAGATGCTGTATTTGAGGTGAGAGTTGAGACGAAGAGGAGGATGAGAAGAATTTCTTCTTGTTCTTGGAGGTCCACCGGAGAGAATGGAGAAGTAAAGAGTGGCCTCTTTTGGCTGTCTCGGGTTTTATTTTTTCCAGAATTTTTTTAATATTAATCTAGTTTGAATTTGAAATTACTTTCGGGGTGGGGTATAGGACGATTATTCTTGTAATATATCTTTTATTATAGGCATATTTGGTAATAAAAAATTACGATAATCTTTAATTGTCAATAATTATTATTGTTGGTAATATAGACGTTTAGCTAGGGGTTTGAGAAGATTTACAAGCATTGTTAAAAATCGGAGTGAAAAATAAAATTTAGACTTGAAAAAAGAACACTTGTAAACTGAAGAAATAAAACTTTTATTTCAACATAAACTTCATATAATCTCCACATTACAAATAATGTTAATTCTCTTATCTATAAGTAAATAAATGGATTAGATTACATAACCATCTTAACTATTCAGACATCAGTTAAGAAAAGTTTAAATATATCTGAACAATAACTGGAAATTGATTCAATCTAAAACTGAAAATAACAGTATTTGATAAGAACTAAAAAACTGCAGGTCGCACAACGCACGCTATAGCAAACTTTTCTTTCGCTGCAGCGAACTTCGGTCGCTGCAATGACCATTTACATAGTTGCGACGATGGGTTCTTTGATCTGTTTTTCAGAGAACTTCATCTTCACTTCTACCAAACCAAAAGATTCATACTTCAATAGGCATTACGTTGTTTGGTTGTCAAGTAATAAAAAATTACGGTAATATTTGATTACCTATTGTTGTTACTTTTGGTAATATATAGATAATCAGATTACCTTCTTAACATATGTTATTAAAAGACTATCGAGGTAATCCACTGTTCATACCAATTTTACCCTTAATTAAAAAGCACTTTGGACATAAATACCTTTATATGTCTACCAAATAACAATTAGTCCAATTATGCAAAATGATTTTTATAACCTCATAAATTAATTTCTTGGATAGAAATGCCTCTCACTATTTATATGAATACCACCCAAAATTATTTAGCCACTGTAGATGACTGTTGGCCACCTCTGCCAACAGTCACCAGAACGGCGCACGATCGGATAGATTTGACCGACTGTGTGTCGATATGCCCGTTTCCGGCTGGATCGAAAGTCGAAAATGGCTAGATGGCTGTTTTCGACTTTCGATATGAACAACAATGGCCAGATCTGGCATGTCGTGCACTGTTCTAGCGGCGACTGGCAATGGTGGCCGACGGCCAACAATTGTGGGTATTTTGTTAAAATTTAAAGTTCTATTGTTGGGGTGTTTCAACTAAATTCTCAAACGTAGGGGGTTAAAAGTAATTTATCTAAATAATAATTATGATGATATTATTAAAAATGAAGGGCAATTCAGTAAAAGCCTATGTCGATAATA